CATCCTTCCCCTCAGCTTTAGAAAAGCACCTCCCAAACCTCCTTTGAACGTGAGCAAGTCAAGTGAAAACCCAAGCTCTGGCCCTGCCTTCCTGCCTCCACCACACCTCAGTGCGGAGGATCTTTCTGGAATTACTGCAGTTAGTTAACGGAGGGGGAATGAGAGAGCCAGCATACCAGCATTTTGCAAACCCTCCGTGAAATAAAGAATCCAGGGGATGAGCACCAGCAGCTGCCCGGTCACAGAAGAGACCAGGGGGCCTTCTGTACCCCCGTGGCAGCCCACAGCATCACCCGTGATCAGTTAGAACCAGGGGTACAACTAACCAGGTCCAGACTGCGGATGACTAGGAAGCAACCCGCTTACCTCTGGGGTTACGCTTCTGGGGAATAAAAGGGGGAAGAGCTGCTCTAGATTCCATGGGCCACATCAGCCAAATGTGACATATGGTTCTTATTCGGATCCTGATCCAACTGCAAAAAGACTTTGTGAGACCACTGAGAAAATCTAAACATGGACCAGGTGCTGAATGGCATGAAATAACTTTTAGAGGGTGGGGCCTGGGAGCGAGGATCTTTGCCTCTCAGCCCCGCTCTGATACCAACTCACATGGGATGCTACACAACCCACTCTCTAGCTCATCTGTCAACAGAGGGGACAAATGCTCTGTAAGTCTTTTAGCACTAAAATCTGAGGGTCCCTGTGGGGATTCTGAAGCTACAGGATATCACAGGACACTCTGGCCCTACACGGATCCTCAGAGCCCTCCCATTAGTTGAACACTTGACGTGTGTCAGCCCTGTACTTCCGGTCCCTCGTGTCCTTCCCGCACACAGCCCTGCTGGGAAACAGTACTGATACAGCCTGGCAGGTGGGACACAGGCGGTCAGAGAGGATGAAGACGGCTGTCACCCACATCCACATTCCTTCTGCCAGTCAGCCCAGAACAATCCGGCCATTTCAGAGTCTACACACATGCATGCATGGAGCAGGCCAGAGGCCCCTTCTAATCTCAAGGCAGCTGGGGCAGCTCAGGCCATCCTGACCTCAGGCAGGACATACACTCTGGGTCTAGCCAGGCCAGGTCAAGCGCAGGGTGAAGGAAAGACATTCTGCCTTTTCTGGCTAAAGGACATAGTGGCCTGGTCACCAAAAGCTGTGATTCACAAATCCGTGTCCATAACCAGTTTCACAGGTCTACAGGAACTTAGAAACACAGATCTGTTCAAGGACTCTTAACTACTCTGAGATCATGTCCACTCTACTCTGAGATCATGTCCATTCTACTTTTCTGGTACTAAAATATTCTTTATTTTATGAAATGCCAACCGTGTAGATGGTAGTTAGGTTTTTAAATTTTTGCTTCTTTCTTTCCTTCCAACTCTCCTTTCTTTAAAATGGACACATTTAGCAAGGTTATATACTGGCAACCCTAGAAAGGTCCTTCCCTGTTTTAAACGGGCCTCTTGAATCCCAACTACCGGGATTGAGGTTGCTTTTAGCTCTTTCTTTGTTCTCTACCAGTAGTTCTAGGATCTCTAAGATTAGTGTCTTTCTAAGAAAATATATCAGACAGCGCCTTCCCTCTCTCTCTCCCATCCCGCTTTCTGTCCACATCCAGGTACCCGGGAAAGGCTGTGGGAGGACACGGTGAGAAGGCAGCCATATGCAAGCAGGATGAGAGAGCTCAGTGGAAACAAATTGGTCAGAACGTTCATCTTGGACTTTCCAGCCTCCACAATGTGAAAAAACAAATTTCTGTTGTTTAAGCCATGTGGTTGTGGTATTTTGTTGTGGCAGCCCCAGCTGAATAATGCACGTATGATGGCCTCTCCCTTCTCGAGGTTTCGGTCTCATCTGCAAAAGTGAGACAGTCACATTCTGTGAGGCCGGCAGGACCCTAACGCCAAACTGAACAAAGACATAAGAGACCAAGATCTCTTATGAATCTGACACAAAAATCCTCAACAAACCAAATCTAGCAACATAAAAGACACACCATGACCAAGCAGGATTTATCCCAGAATGTAAGGTTGGTTTAATACCTTCAATTAAAATATCATACCATATCAATAGAATAAAGGGCAAAAAACAAGATAATCATCTCAACAGACATGGAAAAAGCATTTAACAATATTCAATATCTCCTCATGAAAAAAAAAAACAAACCACTCAGTAAACTAAGAATGGAAGGGAACTTTCTCAAGCTGACAAAGAGTATCTATGAAAAAGCTACAGTTAACATCAGATTTAATGTGAAAGGCTGAAAGCTTTCCCCCTAAGATCAGGAACAAGAGAGGGTGTCTGTGCTCGCTACTTTTACTTAACATTCTACTGGAGGATCTAGCCAGGGCAATTAAGGAAGAAAATTAAATAAAAGACATCCAAATTAGAAAGGAAGAAGCAAAACTATCTCTATCTGCATACAACATGATCTTGTAAACAGAAGATTCTAAGAAATTCACTAAAGAAAGTATCAAAACTAATGAATTAGTTTAGCAAGCTTGCAAGATAGAAGATCAATATACAAATATCACTTGTATCTCTATATAGTAACAATGAACAAACTAAAAAATGAAATTGAGAAATTAACTCCATTTACAATAACACAAAAGCAATAAGCTACTTATGAATAAATTCAATATAAGAAGTGTAAAACTCACACTCTAGAAACTATAAAATATCTTGTAAAAAAAACAAAGAAGTCCTACATAAATGGAAAGACATCTCATATTATGCATCAAAAGAGTAACTATTGTTAAGATGGCAATACTCCCCAAATTGATCTGCATCAAAATCCCTATCAAAATCTCAGTTGGCTTTTTTTTTTTCTTTCAGAAATTAGCAAGTTAATCCTAAAATTCATATGGAAATACAAGGGACCCAGAACAGCCAAAATAAGTTCTGAAAAAGAAGTCGTACTTGGAGAACTCATTTCCTGATTTCAAAATTCACTACAATACTATGGTAATTAAGGCAGCAGTACTGGAATAGAACAGACAGATCAATGGAACAGGATTGAAATCTCAGAAATAAGCCCTCACATTTACAGTCAATGGATTTTTTTAGAGGTGTCAAAATAATTCAATAGGGAAAGAATTGTTTTTTCAACACATGTGCTGGGACAACTGGATATCTCCATGCAAGAGAATGAAGCTGGATCTCTACCTCACACCATATATAAGAATTAACTCAAGATGAATCAAAGACTAAATATAAGAGCTACAACTATAAAATCTTGGAAGAAATCTACTTACCTCTTTGAGGTAAATTCTCATGACCTTAGATGAGGCATGACACCAACAACAGAATGTGATGTATCCATACAATAGAATATTAGTCACAGAAATGAACGAAGTAATGATCCGTGCTAGAACACGGATGAAACTTGGAAACATCATGCTGAGTGAAAGAAGCTGGTCACAAGGACCACATCTGTATGATTCCATTTTTATGAAATGTCCAGAATAGGCAAATCCATAGAGGCAGAAAGTAGATTCACGGTTGCCTAGGGTTGGGGAAGGGCGAAATGGGGTGATGAAAATGTTCTGTATCTGGTTGTGGTGATGGCCACACAGCTCTGTGAAAGTACTAAAAACTGTTCAATTGCACACTTTAAATAACTGGATCGTATGGTGTGTGAATTCTATCTCCATAAAGCTGTTATTAAGAAGACAGCAAGAGGGTGAGACTCGACTGCAGCAGATCCCCCAGTGTGGCCCCCCACCAGGAGCATCAGTATCACCTAAGAGCTTTCCAGACCTACGGAATCAGAAACTCAGAACTGGAGCCCAGCAACGGGTTCTCCAGGTGATCTTGAAACTCACTGCAGCTGGGGACTCCCGCTTAGACGAGGTGGTCCTCAACCCTGACTATGCATTGGGATCACCTAGGGAACTGTACCAAAAAACACTCACACGCTGGCCCCCCCAAGCAGACCTAGTAAATTAGACTCTCTATGCATGGAACTCAGGCATGGGAATGTTTCAAAGCTCCCGTGTGAAACCAGTATGCTGTCGCCGCCGCCGGGTGAAAAGCACTGCATTAGAGAGTGAAGGCCTTGTGTTCTTCAGCCTCTTTGAGAGTCTGACCCAGGCCCAGCTCACTAAGGCCCCCTGGTGGCCATACTGGGGAATGACCATCTTGCTTCTGCTCCACCCCCACCCCACCCACCAATCCACCACCAGGGAGCCCTGGGATGGGGTTCAGGGATCCCTATCGTCCCACTGCTGAGGTCAGCAGCAGCCTGTCCTCTGGAACGGGGGTGGGTGAACGTGGTAATCAGAAGATAATGTCAAGTCATCTGACTGGGCCAGGAGAGCTGTGTAGGACAGAGCCCCACAGACAGCTAATGGGAAGGCACTTTTTTTTCTAAAGAGACTGAAATTCTGGATTTTTACATAAAATTTGTACCTTTATGGAAACCGTTTCATTTTGATGATTTCATGAGTTATCCAAACACAATTTTTAACTGAGGAGGTCAATCTGGGGGCCAGCCCCAGCCCGAGGGCAGCGCAGACATACATAGGTCCTGAGTGGGCAGTCATGCGGCATCAGCCATTAAAACACTGAACGGCTGCCCTGCTGGTCATTAAATGGCCACCTGCCAAGCCCCGGGAGTGGCCCCATCTACCAACCTGACTCCTGCCCCGGACCCTCGACACCGCCCACGACCCAGAACCTGAAGGGTTAACATCTGACACCACAGGGGTCAGGACAGGGCGTTAGTTCTGACTGGCCACGTCCTTGACTGGTCCCAGGGCTGCCACAGCTGTCAAATACTCTGAACATCACCAGCGCATATACCTCGTCAAGCACTCCCGAATCAGGCAAGGGTGAGTTGGGGCTGGGCGCGTTTCCATTTCACAGGTCACATCCAGGAGGTGAGGAAGTAACAGAACCGAGGAGGGCCCCACGGGAGCCCTAGCCACCTCACATCCAGTCGGCCACAACCTCTCTGTGCACTAGGGGAGGGACACGTGGGTCAGGGCGAGGCTCACCTGGCGGTAGGTGCAGATGATGATCTCCCGCAGGTGGTAATGCATGGGGGTCATGGTCTCACTGACTGTGTCCAGGGCCGCATCTACCTCCTTCTTCATGCGGTGCCCGTCAGGTAGCAGCTGCACCACCTTCATCACCACCTGGGGCCAGGGGAACACAGAGAAAACCAAGGGGGGTAGGTGAGGCCGCCAGCCCCAGCAACAGACTCACCCCACACGAAGGAAAACCTCAAGGCCCATCTCAACAGTGGTGCTGGGAAAATTGGATATTCATGTGCAAATGTAACTCAAAACAGATCAAAGACATAAACACAAAGCTAAAACCATAAAACTCTTAGAAGAAAACAGAGAGGAAAACTTCATGACGTTGCATGTGGCAATGACTTCTTGGACAGGACATCAGAAGCACAGATGACAAAAGAAAATGACACCATCAACAGCGTAAAAAGGCAACCAACAGAATGAAAGGAAATATTTGCAAATCGCATATCTGCTAAGGGATTGATATCCAGAATATACTGAAAAATTCCCATAACTCAACAACAAAGCAAACCAAATCAAAAATGGGCTAAGAACTTGAACAGACATTTCCTCATAGAAGACATGTAGGTGGCCAATGAGCACATGGAAAGATGCTCAGCATCACTCATCATCAGGGAAAGGGGACTCAAAACCACAATAAGATGCCACCTTACATCCACCAGGATGGCAACTATCAGAACAGAAAACAACAAGTGTTGGGAAAAACGTGGAGAAAACTAAACCTCTTGTGCTTTGCTGGTGGATATGTTGCCACAGACAACAATACGGCCGTTGTTTAAAAACTAAACAGGTTACTGTATGATCCAGCAATTCCACTTCTGAAAGTGCAAGCAGATATCTGAACAGGTATCTGTACTCCTGTAGTTCATAGCAGCATGACTCACAATCACCAAAGGGTGACAAGAACCCAAGTGTCCACCGACAGATGAGTGGATGAACAAAATGTGGTCCATACGTACAATAGGATAATACTCAGCCTGAAAAATGTGTGAAAGCTAACAGACCCTCAACATGGGTGAATCTTGAGGACATCACGTTAAATGAAATAGACAAGACACAGAAAAACAAATACTGGATAATTCTACTTGTATGAGTTCTATGGAATAGTCAAATCCATAGAGACAGAAAGCAGAACCACAGTCACCAGCAGCTGGGCAGGGAGGAATGGGGGGTTATTGTTTTATGGGTATGGTCGGTTTGCAATGAATAGAAAGTTCTGGAGACGGATGGTGGTAATGGTTGCACAACAAAGTGAATGTACTCAGTGCCACAGAACCATACGCTTCAACACAGTTAAAATGGCAAATTATATGGTAGGTACATTTTACCACAATGAAAAAAATAAAAATCTAAGAATCAGCGAATCAGCAAGAAGGAAGAGAGGAGTTTTAGGAGAGGAAAGAGCACATGCAAAGGCCGAGAAGCTGAAGGAGTTTGGCAAGTTTGAGGGAGCATGCAGAGGCCAGGGTGACAAGACAGCAGGGACAGCGGGGGCGGGGGACGGGAATGTGATGAGGCCAGTCGACGAGGCAGGAGCCGACCACAGCGCTGACACCAGGGAGCCACATGCGAGCTCTGAGTGCCACGTTCCCCGCCCCCCGTAAGACAGGGACTTTGCCGCCTACTTGCAGGGCGTCTGGGCTGACGGTATGTAGCAGGGGCACAATACAGGGGTGACTAAATCGGAAATGTGAGTGGCCATCCACCCAGTGCCCTGGACTGAAATAGGGGTGGGGTGGGACAGGCCATGGCCTGGCATCAAGGTCACCGGCCCCAGCTGGGGCCCAAGCGCCTGTGAGGCAGGCGTCAGCGTCACCCAGACAAGATGTGGCCAGGGGCTCCCCCAGGGCACAGAGCAGCCCAGCGGCAGGGCCAGGCAGACGGGGGTCAGTCTAGCCCCCTCTTCTCCAAGAGCCATCTGTCAGGGCCCGGAGCCAAGCTGACCTGTGCTTTGGTTTGCTCATCTGTGAAATGGGAGCAGGGGAGCACTGAGATGATGAGGTGCAAGAAGGTGATGTAATTAATAGGAGCTCTGAAGATCCCCCAGACCTGCCAGCAAGACTTGCCCTCTCCCCTCACCAGGTATCCCCGGGGGACCCCGTGGGGTGTGCTCACCTCAAACTCGCCCTTGGTGAACTTGGCATCAGGCACACTCACGAACTCCTCCTCGCCCACCTCGGGGAAGCCCTGGGGGAGGACAGCTGCTGGGACAGGGAGCACGTCCATCCAGGTCGCGCCCTCCCCCACGTGAGGAACCCCTTGCCGAGGGTCTGCCAGTCCCCAGGCCCTCTGCCCAGGACTGATGGGAGAGGCTCCACACCATGCACCATCCCTGTCCCCCACACGCTCCTGCCCCTGCCACAGCCAGGGTCCCCGGGGCCGAGTACCACCCTGCCCCTGTCCACACAGGACGGGCCACACAAACCTGGATGTGCCAGAAGGCGAGCACGGCCACCACCATGGCGGTCGTGGTCCGGCCCTGGCCACTGAGGCAGCTGAACACGAAGCCAGTGCCCGGGTCCTTGGCGAGGGCAGCCCGCAGAGCCTCGAGCAGTCGGTCAAAATCCTGGGTGGGGAGACCAGGGTCTGAGTCAGGCAGCTGGTGCTCCAGGCTGCAGACTCCCGACGCGGCCCACCCCTCCAAATGGCAACCCCAAAGCAGCGGTCCTGGGGCAGCCAGGCACAAGATGACATGCTTGTAAACAGCCGTGCCCCTGCTACCTTCCCCCCTCCCCCAGGTGCGCGAGCGCACACACACACGCACACACGCACCCTCCGCCAGGCAGCGTATGAAACATGCGTATGCCACTCCTACGTGCTGTGTCTCCCGGGGCTGCGCAGGGACCCCTGGCCTGGCTGCTTGCCTGAGAGGGACCCAACCCAGGTCCCAGCCTGAGGGCAGGGGTCCGACCTGAGCAGATCACTGCAGCACGCGCCCACCAGGGGGCGACAAACAACAGGCAACCAGACCCGCAGAGGCAGGAACCACAAGCCCCGTCTCTGCCTCTCACAGGCTGCACTTGAGAGGTCCCCACACGCCCCGGGCCCAGAACCACACCCCGCACAGACACCTCACCCAGACAAGCGATGTATCACACGGGCACGCGGCGACCCGCACGCAGTGAGTGCTGGGCACACACACCACGGACGGGTCCGTGGACCCTAAGACACACAAACTACACAGACTCTTGCAAAGACACAAAGCTACAGAGAACACACAAACAACCTTGGTCACCCACAAGCACCCCTCAAGCCCCCATACACATTGCACACCACACAGTTCCCAGACACGCCTGCCACATACCCCCTGGTAAAGACAAGATGCACATCACAGATTCCAGACCAACACACCCACCACACACCTGCACACGCTCCAGTGATACCCACACACTCTCCAAACACGTCTCCCTCACGGACGCACATTCACGGACACCATGGAGGTGCTCCCGCACGCACACCGACGACACGATAATAAACCACTTGGTCCTATGTGAAGGCTCGTGGAACACGCTCCCAGTCCCTCGGGGGTGCTGCGTCCCGAGCCAAGGCCCAGGCCAGAGCGGGGTGGGAGAGGGCCCCCTCCGGCTCCCCAGAGGCCAGGCCTGCACAGCCCCCTCACCTGCTCACAGGGGGCGCAGAAGTCTGGCAGGGGGATGCGGTGGTAAGTGAGGCCGGGGTAGGCCCCACGGTGCTGGGTGAAGACCTCCCGCGTGGTGAGGCATGTCTGGAACTTGCGGGTCGGTGCACCCCCCGTGCCCGGGAGAGGCATACTCAGGTGGGCCTTCAGCTGGGACTCCAGGTTCTAGAGGAGGGTGGGACAGAGGGCTCAGGCCACTGAGGCAGCCTCCAGGCCAGCCCCGGAAGGCCAGAGCCTGCCATGGCCAGGACCAGTCCTGGCTTTTGGGGGCATCCCTGCCCCTTCCTGAGCCTCAGGGATCAGAGCCAGACCCAGAGCCAGGGAGATGGCCACCGTGGGAGTCCTGAATCAGCCACTCCCTGAGTCTGCTCCTCTTGGGGCCTCAGTTTCTCCATCTTACAAGAGGAGCATGGGACCTTCCAAAGACCCTCCCAGGCCAATTTTCCAGAAGGCCTCCAAGTTAGGGATGTGCGGAAGGCAGGAGGGCCTCACCTCAAGCTGGTCGGAGGCCATGGGGGGCCCAGGCCACCGCAGGCTGTGGGTATGCCCGTCACACTCCAGCACGGCCTCCTCCCTCAGGTTGACCCACACGACATGCCGTAGCTTCCTCTTGGCATCAGTCAGGTAGGCCAGGATGCTCCCCAGGGCCTGCGGGGAGACAGGAGGGCCATCAGTGAAAGGGCTCAACCATTACCCCACTCAGCCCACGAGGGGACGTAGGGCCCCTGGGGTGGTCACCTTGGCGCTGGGCTGGGCTGTGCCATAGATGGGCATGCGGGGCACCCGTCGAAAGTTGGCCACATCCATCTCTCTGACAGTGCTGAGTGCGTCTGGAGAGATGAGGTCGTCCGCCCCCTGCGGGGAGAGCAGCAAGCCTGGGACCCACAGCAGCTGACTGGGATTCAGAGCCCAGCCCAAGGTGGGGCAGGGCAGGGCAGGGCAGGGCCCAGCTCTCTACAGTTTACCAAGCATTTCTGCACACTTGGCACTTCATCACCACCCCGGCAAGGAGAGAGGCGCTAGTGCCCACCCTCCAGATGAGGAACCTGAGGCTCAACAGGGAGAGGCTGGTGGCAAAGACATCAGAACCAGGCCTCCTGCCTCCTCGCCTGCAGCACGTGGGTTTGAGAACGAAGAGAGGGAATGACAGCAGTAGCCAAAGCTGCAAACGCTTCTTGGGGCCGGAGATCAGCCCCATGTCACGCACAGGAAGAGTCTGCTGCCCCAAAGGCCATCGCCCCTTTGTCTTCTGGGAAGGGCAGCAATGTTTAACCCAAGCCCTCAGGAATCAAGGGCCCACCAGCCCCGGGGCCAGCCCACACCCATTCCCACTTCCCCAGCCACCCGGCCACACTCACCAGAGAGCCCTTAGTGACGAGGTCCCCGGGGGCCACAGACCCCGCTGAGCTCAGAGTCACAGGCAGGCGGTACAGCTCAGGATGGGCACAGAGCCAGCGGCTGAAACTGAGGGCAAAGGCCAGCGGGTACTGCAGCCCGAGGCAGAGAGAGATGGGAGTTCAGGGGCACGAGGCCATCCCAAACTCTCCCAGCTGGCCCTGTGGTGGGGGAGCCCCAAGAGACCTCCATCATGGTCCAGGGCAGGGAGGGGGGCGGTGAGGAGACAGGACCAGGAGGTCCGAAGCAAGATCCTTCCAGGCCCCAATGCCCCAGCTAAGGGTACAGAGACTGGGGCTCAGGGCAGAGAGAGGTAGGCCCTCTCTCTGCCTGACCTGCTCTAGGACCACCACTCTATCGGGGTCTCTCCATGTCCCCCACACCCACCTTCCTCTGGAACCAACACACACGCCCCCACCCTCCTCCCCAGTTCCACAGGGGTCCTCGACAACCCCATGCCAGTCACCGTGGGAGACAGGGCTGGAGGAACCCCAGGAGGAGGGCTTGTGGGTCCACTCATCCTCCAGCCGCACCTGCTCGTGGAGATAGTAGTTAAACAGGATCAGGTAGAAGTATCGCTCCAGGCTCTGCAGCGCCCTCTGCGGGACACCGTGCTGGCTGCAGCTTCCCTGAGAGGAGGTGACCCAGAAGCGGGGTGGGTGGTGAAGACAGGGCTCGGGGCCATCCTGTCCCCATCCCCAGAAGGGCAGGAGGTAAGCCTGAGAAATCCCCAGAACACCACCTATCCCCTCCCTTTATAACTTCTGCCAGGCTGGAAATTCTTCCAAGCGTCTAACCGCTCTCCGATTTGCTGCGACTAATCTGTAGGTGAAGGGGAAGCAGTTGGTGACTACCCCAGAACCACTGCTATCAACCCAGGGACCGCCTCGTCCTCCGGGCCTGTGCCCACAGACAAGCTGGGACCCCCCCCTTCTTTGCACCAAGCCGTGCACGTGCAGGGCCGTGCACAGTCGTGTTGAGGAAAGAAGTACATACACACCCTTCTCTAAGCCAGAGGCCCTCCCTTAAGAACTGTGACTCACCCCACAAGAAAACAAAAAGACTCTCATAACAGGGCTCCAAGGGGGCCATGATTTTTACCCTTACTTTACCGAGGTTCTGAGAAATGAACGGACTTGCTCAATCATGACGCTGATGGCAGAGAGAGCTGGATCCCCAAACAAATGTCCTAACCCCAGCCCAGCATGCTCTGCGGTCAAGGAGCTGTCAGAGAGAATCCCAAGCTCCCTCTCTCCACCTTCAGATCTCAGGGATCGCCTGCTGGGTCAGTACCACCTTCTGGAGGGCAAGTGAGATTCAGAGAGGCCCGAAAGAAAGGTCATACCCTTTGATGACATTGAACCCCATCTTTGGGAATCTAGGCCAGAGGTCAGCAAATGTCTATTTCTATAAAAGGCAGTAAATATTCTGGGGTCTCTGCTGTACCTGCCCAACTCGGCCACTGCAGCGTGAGAGAGCCGGACGTGCTGGACTGAATGGGCAAGACCATGTTCCAATAAAACTTATTCATGAAAACAAGGTGGCGGGTTGGATTTGGCGCATGGGTCACAGTTTGCCAACCTCTAATCTAGACTAAGGGAAAAAATCCTAAATACACAACAGCTTCATTTTCATGAAGTTATCTTGATGCAAAAGGATTTACACTGATGAGGAACCGGAAGCAACTCAACTGTCCAACCAGAGGGGCGTGGTTAGTAAACCATGACAGGTGACATCCCAGGGACATCTGCTCCATGCAGACTCCCTTCTGAGGGCCTCATGGCTCTTACCCCAGCTGATCCTCACAACAACTCTATGGGTTGGTTATTATTCGTGGCTCCCTTTTTACAAGCAGGGAAACTGAGGCACGAAGCAGTGAAGCAGGTGGCCCACGTCCACACACCTGTAGGTGGCAGAGCCAGGCCTGGACCCCACGTGGTCAGGCCAGAGGCCACGCTCTTAACCTAAAAGGCCAACGATGGCTGAAGTCACACAGCCGGCAAGAACGGCGATGACGAAAGCAGGGATGGCACAGGGATGCTGAGGAGAAGGGCTAGAAGCAGGCCGCAAACGTGCCCTGGGGCACCCGACACAAGATCGTCACCAACAAAGCACGTGGGAGGAAGGAAGCTGGCCCCAAATGCTCCCAAATGATGGGTGACTTTCTGCCTTCTCCAATTTCTCAATTTTCCATACTATATTATCGCTTTCAAAAGATGTTTTTTTAAAGTGTCGAAGAAGAAAAAGTCTCTGCAGGCCTTAGATGGCTTCCATGCACTGTACTCTCAAGACAAGGCCTCTCCCCAGAGCTGAGGGACAGGGCTGCTGAGACAGCCCAGAGCCCATCACTCTTCCAGAAGCAGCAGGCTGGACCAAACCCCGGCCTATCCAAGGAAACAGCAAGGGACTGACTCACGGAGGGGAACCAGGAGCAGTCTGGGAAGTCTCTGGATCCAGAGGCCCCCGGCACCCTGGCCAGCAGCCCCTTCCTCCATCCTGTTTATTCTGCAGCAAGGGGACCTGGCCAGGGAAAGTAAACTTTCCCTCTTCCTTGTCCATCTTTCCTGCAGGCCCAGCTCCTCTAGCTTGCCTTCCTCTGAACGCCTCTCTTCTCTGGGAGAAGCAGCAACCAGGAAAAGTTAGTTGGAAAGAAGCTAGTCAAGAGGTTTAACAAAATGAGGTTGCAGGACTCGGGCAAAAGCAGACCCTCTCCAGGCCTCACCTGGGCTGGGCTCTCTGGCCGGGGGCCTTCCAGCTTCCTCTGGTGTTCCAAGATGACCTCCTTCAGGTCATGCAGCTCCGCACAGGCAGTGATGGCTCTGTCCACCTGGTGCCCACGACCAGGGCAGGGAAGGGAGAGGGAAAAGGGCCGCAGGGCCGAGCAAAGATGGCAGAGGCGGAAGGGAAGAGAAAGGGAAAGAATGGTTTGTCAAAAAGGGGGCAGTGCAGGGGAGGAAGAGACCCCACCAGCAGAGGAGTGCACGGCCCTCCACGGCCCCTGCCCCCAGCCCCCTGGCTCACCTCATCCACCATCTTCCTCCCCTGAGGCACCATGTGGAGAAAGCTCTGGATCAGCTGGAGCTGCTCCAGGGGCAGTGGCTTGGTCTGCAGGGGTACAGCCCTGACAAGGAAGGGGTCAATAGCATAAGCAGTACCCCCAAAGGCCTCTACCACCACCCCCCTATTGACATTTCCATTCACATGGCCGCTGAGGGCACTGGACTACAGTCTCCCAAGTTTTCCTTCCCATTCAGGTTGGGGGAAGCAAGGGGTATTTTCCCCACTGGGGAAACAGGCCCAGAAAGGTCAAGTGACTTTTTTCGCATTACTCAGCAAATCTGTGGCAACCCAGGAAATGAACCCCACATGCCCCACCTCCAGCTCTAGCCCTGGGCTCCTGACACGTCCCCAGCACTCTGGCAGCCCTGCCCCCTCCTCTCCTCATCCCCGCAGTGCCTTGGGACACTCACTCCGGCCTCGAGGCAGCCCCGCTGTGGTGAAACAAGATGAGGGTACCCAGGGTCATTCCCAGATTGGTCCTGCCCACGCCTGTCTGGCAGCTGAAGAGGAGAGCAGGGGGAGGCCCGTGGTCATCTCGGAGCTGCAGCAGGCTGGGGGTTTCCTGGGAAAGACCATGACCATCAACAACAGCATGCCCTGGAAACCCTCAGACTGGACCAAGTCGAGGGAGGGGGGTCATGACATCGGCCCATCTGCACCCCACAGTCTTTGGCAAGGGGGGCCTAGACAGGTGGCTCAGCCACTTTTGCCAAACTTCAAAGCCCAATGTGCTCCATCTGCCCCGAAGAGGACTGTCCTGCCTCCTTCCCAGGCCCTGGGGGAGCCCAACCAGCTGGTCCTGGGAGTGAGACTGCTCAGAGGGGACAGGCCTGTATTTGACATTGCCGTGAGATGCAAATTAAATGAGGTGGCCTCCCGCAGGGCCTGGGAAAGAAACACCACCAGTCCTCAGGAAACACCAGCTCAAGAGGCTACGGATAAGAAATTTTTAGCCCCGGTGAACTTGGTGTCTAGAGAGGTCAGGTGATTTGTCCAAGATCACACAGCAAATTAGCAGCTGAGCCTGCCCAGAGTCCAGGCCTTCAGATGGTCAGTGCTGGGCTCTGTCATTAGAGAATGTACAAATATACACCCCCCCAACACACACACACACACTCCACCTCTTATACAACACAGAAGGAAACCTTCCTCTGAGGAAAGCCAGAGGCCATACTCGCCCTGAGCATCACCGTGGAGACAGGGCCTAGACCCAGACCCGCTCTCCAGGCTCCTGTCCCTACTCTGTGCTCCCACCACCCACCACCTCCTGCCCTGACTTACCCGGAGGACACTCACAAAGACATCAAACTGGGCTTCCAGGGGGGCCCCTTGCTCTGGCAGGGGCAGGCGGTGGTACCTGCCAGGTGAGGCGGAGAGACCCATCAGGCAGGCCACACAGCCCGGGCATCCCCCACCCCGCATTCCTGTGGGAAAGATGGGTGTGGGGAGCTCAGCCCAACCTGCAGACGGTGAAACTGAGACCACAGCTGGGGAGCAGGGCCAGAGAGCACCCCTGCCCAGCACAGTGGCATCCATGCGGCCCAAGTCATCTGCTGTCACTGGGTAGGACTGGCACTCGGTACCTGTAGGCGGGCCTCAGGAAGAGGGGTCGCTTATACACCTCCTCGGTCACGTGCACATCGTCCTCGCCCCGGATGGCCACAGCGTGGGGCTCCCCCAGCAGGTCCTCGACGTTGTGGTAGACGTGGTACGTGTTCTCACTCAGCTGGGCAAAGTCATGGATCTGCATGGAGGAGTGGGGGCCAGAGGACCACGACTGACCTGCAGGCCCCTGCTGGCCTTCCTGGCCGAGCTCTAGAGCGAGGAGACCACAAAGAGGCCACGGACAGGCTGCTCTTCCTCCAGGGGGATCCATCTGGCCAGAGGTGCTCTGTGCCCTGGGAGTCCTGACAGGATGGAGGTGGCCAGCGGCCCGAGGGGGCCACCTATGCACAAGATGACATGGCCCACACTGGGGCCAGGGAGGAAGCATCCTGCCCTCTGGGCAGCAGGGGTCAGCTAAGCCATCAGACTCAGGGACAGGGGGAAGCTCAGTCAGCTGGGTGCTAGAGGAGACGAGACCCCAAAGGGAGATGGGAGACAACCGGGCTCCTGCCCGTGGGAGTCTCTGGGGGCACCACGATGGCACCCTCCATGCACACACCTCTGTGGTGCGTCAACAGCCTCAGAAACCTTGACAGGGCCCCAGGTGGCGGAGGGGAACAGAGGCACCTCAGACAGACAGAGGCCCGTCGAGAGAAGTGCCTCATCTGGGCCTCACAGCTCACAGAGGGCTGACCCTCGGTGTTGGGCCTCCTAGTCTAATGCTCCTTTCACTCCACTAGGCCCCTGCTAAATAAGGATGCTGAGTGCAGAGGAGGTGCGCATGGTGGGAAAGGGGCAGAAGCAAACGGAGCCGGGAACAGGAAGGTCTTCCCCTAGCTTCCCGTGAGCCGGCCTTGCATCCAGCTACTCGCCCAAGCAGGGCAGAAGAGTGGGTGAGAGCACTTTGCTCAGGTGAGAGCAGAGCTGGGCTGGGGGCTAGGGTCCCCTCAGCCGCCCACGGCCTGCCAGGGAAGGGGGCCTCCACCTACGCCAGCGACCCTTGCCTCTTTCCGGATGGCCAGCTCTAAGCTCTCTGCCCGGATCCCAGGTCCCAGGCCCTGGAGGTTCTCATGAAGATTCTGCTTATCCCGAGGCGTGTAGGGCACGAAGTCCTCCTCAGCACGCAGAAACAACACGGGCTCCTCCCGCACACAGAAGATGATGCACCCCTGCCAGGAGCCAAAGGAGGAAGAAACTGTCCCCACTACCCAGCACAGAGACCCGACCTTCTGCCTTACCTCTGTGCCTTGCCACAGACCGGTCCCTGCTCTTTGAGTGCCTGTCACCCCCACCCCGTCCCTGCAACATGAATCTTACCCAGGAAGCAAAGCTCGGTCCAAATACCACCTGCTCCTGACTCTCCCTCTTCTTGGGGCCAACAGCCCTCTGTCTGAAGGTCATGGTGTTGCTTCCTGCTTCATCCTAACATCATCAGTGACTACATCTCCCTCCATGGACTACAGGTTCCTTACATGACGAACCATGTTCTAGTCATTTTCACATCTCCACTATTCCAAGCACGGAACGCCAGATAAATCAAGTGCTTGATAAACACTGGGGGAAGAAATGAATGCCTGCCATCGCCATGCAATCATTCATTCACTGAGCACCTTACACACAGAGAGAGATATGGGCAGACCCTTCCCTGTGGAACTTGCAGTCAGGCTGGGAAGAGAGGATCCGCCCAGAACTAACACCCCACCCCACTCTGGTTCACTCAGGGACCCTCCAGCTAAACACCAGGTCAAACGAGATGCAGGCTGCAATCAGATGGGACCCTCAGCCTCTGCCCTGAAGACACTCAAAACCCCGCCTCAGCATCAGGCAGGAAAGAGGAGTCATTAAAAACAGGCATTTAGGGGCGCCTGGGTGGTTCAGATGATAAAGCATCTGCCTTCAGCTCAGGTCATGATCTCCAGGTCCTGGGATCAAGCCCCACGTCGGGCTCCCTGCTCAGCGGGGAGTCTGCTTCTCCCACTCCTCATTTGTGCTCTGTCTCTCTCGTTCTCTCAAATGAATAAATAAAATCTTTAAAAAAAAAAAAAAACAGTCTCTAATTTAGAGTTCAGATGCCTAGTTTGGGTCTTGGGACACCACTCCTAAGCTGTGTCACTCATCCTCTCTGGGCCTCGGTTTCCTCCTCTCTGCAATGGGAGGAACTGCCCTGCCTTCATAGGGCTGACACAAGGACCTGTGTCCGCTGTGGTCCTCATGCTGTGCCTCTCTTGTTATGACCTGGACCCTCTTGTCACCCTGTCCCCCTTCTCACTTCTCCAAGGTTCTCAAAGTGGGGTGTATAAGGGGCTTCTGACCTAGGGCCCCCATGTCCACATACGACAGGGAAATAAAAATTGACCCAGAATTTCCCAACCATGCTGACCACAATGATCATTGTGGCATTCAAGGCCTGCAGAGCCTGGTCTGGGTCCCCAGGCACCCTCCCCATCATGTGGCCAGGCCACTCCCGGGAAGAGCCCCTCTGCCAGATTTGGGGGGCTACGAGACCCTGCCCGGAAGCAGTCCTGCTTACCCTGTGTCCATCTTTCTGGAGTTTCTGGAGGACCCGCCTGAAACCAGAGAGGCTGGGCTGTCCCATGCCAAACACGGTGAGGCCACCCCGCACTTGCCGGAAGTTGGGGGCCCCACAGCTCCGCACAGTGCCCAGTACATCCATCTTCTCAGCAACATCCCGCACCAGGAAGTAGCGTCCCTGGCAGGGGAAGAGCCACAAGGGGTTACTCAGATGCTCGGGGACATCTTCTATCAGTGGAGCTCTGTCCCAGGCCCCAGAGGATGGGGAGCAAGAGATGGGGCAGGGGACATGGTCTTCAAGTTGTCTGCAGGCTTTTGGAAAAAACAAAATATGTGACCATCTGTGATCCCAAGAAGAGTGTCATTTAGCATGGGAAAGGGAAAAACAACTCCTCCTGATGGGGAATCCGAGAAGGCTTCATGGAGCAGGCAGCATTGGGGGCAGGTCTTGAGGAAAAAAGGAGGAAGAGGCACTCCAGGGGCAGGAAACTGAGGCTGGCTCTAGGGTGGGGCCTGAAGCTCTCCAGGAAGAAGTCAAATGTCTCCCGCAGCCAGAGGAAGGGCTTGGAGCAGGGGCCCAAGTGGGGAGTCACAGCTGGGGCCCCAGGAATCAGCTAGAGGAAACCTGCACTAGCCCCCTCCTGAGGTCCTGAAGCTCTGAGGACGGACGGGGCTCTCCCTTCCCCGGCCGGGGTGATGGATGTAATGAGGGACAGAGTAAAAGGGTGAGAACAAGAGGCGCCAGGGGAGTTCATTCCTGGGCACAAAGGAGCTCGGACATCATCTGGCCATGCCCCTCCAACAGGACCCACACATTGCCTGACAGATTAGAAATGGAACCAGTTCTTCCAGACACCAGAAAATCCCAGCTACTCTTTCAACAAACAGTTTCATCAGCATGATTATCCCTTCTCCGACTATTTACTGAGCACCTACACGGTGCCGGAGCACTGATCAGGGCTGGGGGCTGCTGCAGTGAACAAGAAAAATGAAAGTCATCTGGGCGTGTGGACCTGGCTTTCTAGGGGATACGTGAGGGAGAAAAGCAGCTAAGCCAGAGAAGTTCTGGAGCGTAGAGAACAGGATAGAGATCCCCCAGCTGGGGCCCTGACTCTGTTCTCCCTGTTGCTCCAAGGGCGGGGTGTGGGCAGACTGAGGCCAGGCAGGGACCTGCCAGAAGAGCCGATCAGGGGGCTCCGCGGGGCAGGGGGCATGGCCCAGGAAACCAGGGGGTGACAGGAAGTGGGGGAGGAGCCCAGAGGGTGGGGTGAGGACATGACTCAGAGAAGGGGTCAGTGGGGAAAGCAGGGGGGAGGGACCCTGTGAAGAAGGAGGACCAGAGGTGGGTGGGGGAGGCCGAAGGGGGAAAGGGGCCGGGCTGCCCTCACCTGCACCAGGTAGTGCTCGGGGGTGGCGTCTGAGAGCCGGCCCAGCGTGTAATGGGCCTTGAGCAGCTCCTCATGGATCTGGAACTCCTCCTTACAGTTGTACCTGTCAGGGCAGAATGGAAACTTTCATGATCAAGGTAGCCTCCACCCTCACCAGACTCCGTAACAGGACCACCCCACCGGCGCCCGTCTATGGCAGAGACAGCCTGCTGTCCCCAATATCCACCCTCCCCTCCTTCCTCAGCAACAGAACCCTGGAATTGTGACTGGGCCATCCGGCTGAGGACTACATTTCCCAGGCTCCCTTGCAGCTAGGATGGTCACGTGATTAAGGTTTGGCCAATGGGATATGAGGAGAAGTGATCATGCGTACAACTTCTGGGCCATCCCTTAAAGGGAAGGTGGGTGCCTTCTACTTTCTCTCCTTCTCCCTGGCTAGCATCCAGAAGTGATGGTGAGAAGCAGATGCTAATGATGGTGGGGAAACAAGAGAGGGGCCTGGCTGATCACAGAGTGGCCATTCCAGCTTGGTGCACCTCCCAGACTCTTGTGTAGAGAGAAGCTTCGGTCCTGTTTAAGGCCTCCTATTCGAGGGTTACCTGGGTCCCAGGGGACCCTTCCATCAGATTGTCTCTGAGAACAACACCATGGCACAGTGAGGGGGCTCAGGACAGAGGCTTTGGGGTTGCATGATCTGGGCATGAACCCAACTTCACCACACAGCAACTTTGGGGCTTTGGAGTGACTCACTCTCTCTGTGGTTCCCTTTCCAGTAATTCTCACCTCCTAGGGCTGCTGTGAGATTTCAAGGCACTGCTGAATGGAACTGTGGTCAGCCAAGGGCCTTGGGCACAGTGTTTATTAATATAATTATTTTTACTAGTCGCAGTGCTACCTCCACACAGGCCCATTTCAAACAAAACCCACAGGTATAAAAACAGATTTCTGCAGATGCTAAACCAGGATGGGTCTGTCTGTCCGCTCAAGACATAAGAAGCTTCCGTGCTGATTATAACAGTGAATAAGACACTCGCACCCTGGTGTCTACTCCTCTTTACAAAAGAACTGCATCTAGGAAAGGCAGGGCAGTGGAATGAGTGAGGCAGGGGAGCCCGAAGCGAGAAGTTGAGAGACTTGGGGTCCCGCTCCCAGCTCAGTCTCTTTCTCACCACATGGTGGACAAATCCGTCTACCCCCGGAAGCTTGGTATTTAGATCCAGTCTTCACATCTGATCTAAAACGTATTCAATCAGGACTCGGCAAACGTTTTATATCGAGAACTGGACAGTAAATAATTTTGGCTTGAGAGCCATACAGTTTCTGTTGCAACAACAACTCTGCGATTGAAGTGTTAAGCATCCACAGACAGCATACAAAGGAATAGGAGTGGCGGTGTTCCGATAAAACTTTATTTACAAAAGCAGATGCGAGGTGGGGTTCGGTCCACAGGATACAGTTTGCCAAGCCCTGTGTTGGGTGATCTCTAAGGTCCCTTCCCCACAAACATGCTATAGCCCCAGGGTCCCTGCGCTCATACTCGCTCCAGGAGGTAGATCTTTACAGCAGGCTCATGACTGTTCTGAGCCACACCACTTGGTTAAGTACTCTGCACGTCATCACCATGTAATCTGATAAGAAAAAGAAGACCCAGGGGCGCCTGGGCGGCTCAGTCATTAAGCATCTGTCTTGGGCTCAGGTCATGATCTCAGGGTCCTGGGATCGAGCCCCGCATCGGGCTCCCTGCTCAGCGGGAAGCCTGCTTCTCCCTCTCCCACCTCCCCGCTTGTGTTCCTTCTCTTGCTGTGTCTCTGTCAAATAAATAAATAAAATGTTAAAAAAAAGAAAGAAAAGAAAGAAGAAAGAAAGAAAGAAAGAAAGAAAGAAAGAAAGAAAGAAAGAAAGAAAGAAAGAAAGAAAGAAAGAAAGAAAGAAAGAAAGAAAGAAAGAAAGAAAGAAAGAAAGAAAGAAAGAAAGAAAGAGGGAAAGAAAGAAAAACGAGACCGAGAGAGGGGAAAGGATTTGCCTGAGGTCACAGAGCAAAGCCCAGGACGTGTGTCTCCGACACTGCCCTCAAGGGCCAAACCTAGATGTGTCATCTCTGGTAGAGAAACAATATCACGTCTCTTCTCTTCCCCTTATCACGAGCACAGTAAGGGATTAGGATTCTAATTTTCCTGTCAGGCCCCAAAGCCAGCAGGCCGCTTTATCATTCCCACCCCTCAGGTCTCCTGACACACAAAGTCCCATCTGCTAGGTCTCTGCCAAACTTCTATGTGTAGAATACAGTTCATTCTTAGCTCACTGTGTCCTACTTCCTGTGTGCTGGAGGGGCCCAGAGGCAGATTCGACGTGAGCTGAGGCTGCCCAATTCACCGGGAGACAGAGCCCATGCCTCTCTTGTCCTCCTGGCCTCTGGCTCCCAGCACCCACTCCTTCACTGACCCCACAGGGCAGACAGGGTTGCAGAGCCCCCTTCTGGACCCTCTTCTTCTGGACACATGTAGTGTATCCATGTGTCTCAAAATACGGTGCTTGAACCCACTCTCAGCCTCCTCCAGGAAAGTCCCTCAAGGACCTAATTAAGAGAGGTGACCAAGAGCTTCCAGCTTTTTCAGCCACAGCTCTTTTACGACCTGGTATTAACCTCAGTTTCAAACCATAATTACTAGTTGTGAAAAATAAAAAATCTAAATTTTAGGCACCTTAGTATATAAACTCTGTTTGAAAATGTTTGGCCAAAAATGATTTTCAGAAGGGTGTCCCCCCACCGGCCACTTCTCCTTCTCCATGCTTCCTGGCCCTATGGACATAAGCTAAGAGACCCACAACAGAGACCCACTCAGGCACTTGCTTGCTGTGTTACTCCAGACAAACTGCTTAACCTCTCTGGGCCTCAGGATCTTCATCTATGAAATTGTAGACTCAGTGCTTTATGCCACCACTCCTCCGGGAAGCTGCCCCAACCATGTCTTCCAGGGACACGGTCACACACACACACACACACACACACACACACACACACCCCGCCACTCACGTGATCACGACGGGGGCCACTTTGTTGGGGATGATGGACTTGGCCTTACTGTTGTGCAAGCCTGTGGTCTGGAAGGAGTGGACACTGAGTGAGTGCTGACTGTCCATCGTGCCGCCCCCGTGGAGGCCCTCGAAGGGGGCGCCCACCGAAACCGTCTGCTGGGCTGTGCTGGCCGTAGTACCCATAGTCCGCTGGCAGCCTCAGGACCCCAAACCTGCGGGATGAGAAGGCATGGGGTGTGTGGAAGGGGTGGGAAAATCCACAGCAGGAAGGGACCTAGCCCAGCTCCACCTCCACCCCCACCGCCCAGATGCCAAGTCTGAGGCCCAGAAAGCACCAGCTCAGCCTGCAGCAGGAGACAGAGGGCAGGTGTGCCACTTCCCAGTGTTCCCTGAATGCCTACCCTGCGCCTGTCCCTTGGCTTCTGCTTTGGGGTGGGTTACGGACATGAAGAGACATAAAGACACATCCCCTGAACCCTTACGGTTATACTCCCCTGGCAAAAATATGACCGTTAGGAAGGGGTTAGCCCTCCACACCAGGTCAGGACCTCGGGCTCTAAGTGACTGGGTCAGGCCACATAGAGGCAGGGCCCCCCAGATGGACAGAAGTGGGAAGACCTGGGGCAGGTGCAGAAGGAAGTCAAGCTTGGCTCTGAAGAATGTGGAGGCGGGGGCGCACCTGGGTTGCTCAGTTGGTTAAGCATCCGACTCGATTTCGGCGCAGGTCATGATCTCAGGGTCATGAGATCAAGCCCAGCATCAGGCTCCGTGCTCAGCAGGGAGTCTGAGATTCTCTCTCTTCTCCCTCTGCCTCTGCCCCTGTTCACTGCGTGCTCTCTCTCTCTCTCGCACACACGCGTGCTAAAATAAATAAATAAATCTTTAAAAAGAGAGAGAGAGAATGTGGATGGAAACAGGATACAGGAGGTCACTCTAGCCATGAATATCACAAAATGAGGCTGGGGACATCCAAGGGTTCAGTGAAAGCACCAGGCCCCTGAACTTGACATCACCAATCATCAATATCCCCATCAACAGCCAAAGATTCCGCCCCCCACGAGGCAGGCTGGGTGCCCTGGTGGACTCAGCAATTCCCCTGGTGGGCTCTCTCCCAGAGAAATACTTAAGGATGTTCGCAAAAACCAGGCTTCTGGGATGTGTTGCTGCCGGAGGTGTTGTTTACAACTGCAAAACACGGGGAACCACCTCCAGCCAACAAGAGCGGCTCTGCTGAATAAAGTTGGGGCATCTCTAAGGTCAAAGGTTAAACAGCCATTGAAAAGATCATACTGATGGGATCTGGAAAGACATGGAGGACACAGGGATAGAAGGAGCAGGTTGCAAGGCAAGAACGGGCTCCAGTCCCATTTTAATTCATGAAAGTGTATCAGGAGAAAAGCCTGGAAGATACACATCAAGATGCTAATGTGAGTTATCACCAAGTGATGAGATGAGAGTTCATTTGTCTTCTCCTTTTGCTTTTTCTCCTCTGAACACTAACTGGGTAATAAAGTTAAAGCCTATTGAGAACAGATAAGAGAATGTCTGGGGAAATGGCCGGAGACGGGTGAGGAGTTGCTGGAGGGTGTGAGGAGCCGTCCCTAGACACAACAACTCCCTCAGCTGCCCTCAGCCCAGGGTGAGCTGCTCCACATGGTGGGGACAATCTGCTCCCACCACCCCGCCCTCTGGAAACCAGCAGCGGCACCCGGGGAAGAGGGTCAGCGGGTCAGTGTGAAGGCTGAGCTCACTGGGCCTTCTCTCCCCCAGGCCCTGAGTATTCGGGCTCCCCCTCCTCGGAGCCGCCTAGACAGAATGACTAGACTCATCCACCCCTCCTCAAACCTTCCCAAACCACCACCTGTCCCTGTCCCTCTGCGGTCTGGAAAGGGCTCCCTCTCTCCCTCGGGCCCTGCCTTGTCATCCTTGAAAACTCCCAGTAGCCATGCAACAGCTCTGTCAACATGCACACTTGTGCTTATAAGAGCCTCATCGCACCCCGTCCAATTTCCCCCTCCCTCCATCCCTCTCTCCCACTTTCCCTCTCTCTTTGTCTCTGTCAAACGTGGACGGAATGAGCCTCTGTTCCTAAACAGAAACACGGGCTGCTCAGAGAGCATGAGGGGCTCCACAGTGGGCCCCAGCCTGCCAACAGCAGAGCCAGAAACTTCTCTCCACTTCTCCCCCAACCCAGCTCACCAAAGTTCCCTCCGGCAGCCCGGGCCAAGGAGGCATGGACAGGAACAGTCTCCTCCAGGAACAGGGGCACGGGTAGCTGTCCCAAATGAAGGCATGAGGGACAGGAAATGGGAAGGGCCTAGAGGAGGCAGCAGCTGCCCACAGCTGCCCAGCCAGGCCAGGCCCTGCCCGCTTTGGGCTGAGCTGCAGCCACCCCCGTGTCTCACGGGCTCCATAGTCGACAACAGGCCCCAGCTGGTGCCCTGTCAGGGCAGCCGGGAGATAATACACATGTGCATAGCTGCAGGCTAGAGGGCTGGGGGAAGGACAATATCCTTTGAAAGCTGACTGGCTTCCAAACTGTCTAGAGGAGGGTGAAGCCCCGGGATCTCCAGGCCTCCCACTCTGTAAGACTCCTCCTGAAACCCCTCTCCACCCTGCCAGGAGTGAGCCTCACCAGCCCAGGGGCCTCCTCCTGCTGGCCCCATGCTGCAGGGCCCAGAGCAACTTCCCCATGTCCCCAGCCCTAAAATGGCAGTAGGGACGGCATGGTCCAAAAGCCTCTTCCAGATTCAAACAGATCTGGCTCCTAAGACTGGAGGTCCTGGTGGTCACACCCCAACTGCCCACTACCAGGGAAGGCGGTCAGCAAGGTCAGGTTGGGGGGGTGTTAGTTGGGTCCCTAGTGCTCAAACCTCTGCTTGGGGGAAGAATGGGGAGGGCAGGGTGGAATGTAGGCAGACTGAAAGTTGTGGTCCATGGAGCCTGGATTGTTTGCAATTATGCTAGTCCAGAACTTCATCGGATCCTGAGTGAAGGCTGTCATCCCCACTGTGCCGCTGAGACTGGGACGTGGTCGCCATGGAGCTCGCGGGTGGTTTACACCCCACTGCCACTGTGATGTCTGGAAACACGGCTTGCACTCATCCCGGACCCGCAGGATAAAGAAAATAGCAATGAATCTACAGTTAACTCTATACCACACTAATGTCATCTGTTGCTTTATGTTTTTTTAGCTTAAGGAAAACTTAGGAGAAAACGAGGTGCTTCACGGAATATTCTAATTGGGAGAAAACTTTATTTCCTCTTATTTCTGTTGTGAATTTTTAAAACATTTTTTAGAGCTAAGTGATAAAAGGCCCTTATAAGAAAGTATTTTTGTTTTTGCATAAAATTTAAATGTTTAATTTTTAAAATAATTTTCTAAGTCTCAACAGTTTCTTGAGAATTTTACTTTATTGGTAAACCTTCATTCTCTTTTATTTACTAGGTTATATTTTTTAGAATGTGCCTTCTGACCGTTCAGTTTTATTTTTTTACATTTATATCAAGGGTCTGATTTATTGCCTACTTAGTTGTGAAGAGATATTCATAAATCTCCTGTTAAGTCTACCAAAATGTTCTGTATGGGAGGCTGCCTCCCATTCGTGGAATCCGTGGCAGAGAAGTGACCTTGTTTCCCCAGGAACAATTCAACATGAGCTCCAGCTCATCAACTGACTGCCTGATGCTACAGCACAAATACTCAGGCTACAGAGTGATGAGCTTCTCGTCAATGGCAGCATTCAAGCCAAGGAGGTGCCAGAGCAGGGAGGACAGGCAAGAGGTTCAAGAGCAGAGCCCTCAGGCCTCAGCCCAAAATACCTCGTGAGTCTAAGTCTGTTTCTGGAGAACTGAATCGTCCCCATTCCGGTCTCAGTTTCCACACCTGTAATCCAAAGCTCACAAGCCCCCACCTTCTTTGTCCCTGTCCCGACGCAGCAGCCGTGACCTCCACGCTTGGCAAACCCTGTGGGCCTTTCCAAAGCAGAGTTTGGCTCTTGGGACTGAAGTGGAAAGCTGCCCATCAGCTACTGACCCCAGCCCCGTTCCTTTCTCCTCCCTCCCTGCCCACCGGGATGGACCCCAGACCCTCCTGCAAAATCCCAAGTCCCACCTCAGAACAAGATGTGACTCCAGGAACCACCACAACCAGCTGTGACCACAGGCCCCCAAAAGCAGCTTCCGAGCGGGCTACGCCCCTGGAGGCCAGCAAGTCCAACCCTCTCTTTCCACAGATGAGGAAACGGAGGCCCAGGGAGGGAACGCGATGTGTTCCAAGTCACAAGGACAGAACTGAAACCCAGAGCTCCTGCCTCCCACGCGGAGGCTCCCTGGCTGGGCCCCGCCCCCTCTAGCCTGAGCAAAGGGGAAGATTCTGTTGTGAGCACAGGGAGATGGTGTTGAGCAGATATTGCACAAGTGTGTGATTACGCTAGCCAAATCAGGGTGTGTGGTCACCCTGCCTGAGATAGCCAGTGGCCCTCACTGCAGAGACGGGATGCAGGGAAGGCCAATGGGTGGATCTCTGGGTGCAAAGCACTTGACATATAGTATCTCATTTAATCCTGACCCTAAAAAAAAAAAAGAGGTGTCAACTCTTGGTACCAACTTGGTACCACATTAACAAGAAATCCAATGAAAAATGAGTAAAAGATGGGGCACCTGGCTGGCTCGGCCAGTGGCGTATACGACTCTTGATCTGGGGTTGTAGTTTCGAGCCCCATGTTGGGGTTAGCGGTTACTTAAAAATAAAACCCTTTTCTAAAAATGAGTAAAAGGGGTGCCTGGGTGGCTCAGTCGTTAAGCGTCTGCCTTCAGCTCAGGTCATGTGGGATCAAGCCCCGCATAGGGCTCCCTGCTCCGCCGGGAGCCTGCTTCTCCCTCTCCCTCTCCCACTCCCACTCCCCCTGCTTGTGTTCCCTCTCTCCCTATGTCTCTGTCAAATAAACAAATGAAATCTTTAAAAAAAATAATAAAAATGAGCAAAGATTTGAAGGTATATGCAAATGCCAAATAAGTATATAAATATACACCCGGCACCATTCATCATCAGGGAAACACATTAGACTAACAAACGTTAAAAGACCAACACCAGTAAGCTCTGGTTAGGATGTGCAGCAAAGTGGGTCTCAGATGTGGCCACTGAAGTGTAAGATCATACGGCCACTCTAGAAGACAGCTTTACCATTTCTAACGATCCAGCAATGTCACC